TGTAAAAGGGCAACTCACAACACTATCATTACAACCAGTGTTTACACTTTTGTCACATATTTTACATAAGCAAGGCTGCATTGCTGGCAGCAGTGAGAAAATGTTCCCATCTGACCAGTCAGTGTATGTCACACGGCGTCCCTGCACAATGGAGAGCTGTGAAGAGTGAGTCAGTAGTCGTCAGACATTTAAAATCGCTGGACACCCACACAAAGGTAGCTTTTGTGACGCCAAAACAAAGGAGGCTCAATGTGGGGAACTATGTTAATATTACGTTCAATTACTCAATGAGAGCTTTTAAAGCCATCTGTGTGGCACCACAACGATGAATTAACTTTACAGTGGTCACTCATTAACAGACAGAGAAGTTACATCTACTGTTAAATGAAAAAAACATTAAGTGCAAAAATTAGAGAACATACTGTGCACATATTAACCAAAGTGATTCTACTTACCCAGCACTGATTCCTTCAGTGGAAACTTAATCTGTATGTATATTAATCTTTATGTAAGGCTTCAAATACTTCTTCAACTACTGGGTGTGAAATAGAGAAGTAAGCAGCACAAGTCACAAGACAGCTGTTGACAGAACAGCAGCAGGACCTGTCTGTTGGGCCCCGCCCACATTTATTCAATTTAAACAACACCACACCAACTTTATTCACACCTTGGGAACTGCAATTTAAACAGTAGCCTGTCCACTGGTGACATAACTATACCAATTTAAAAAATGCTCACTGATTTTAAGTTTCCACAGATATACTTTGAAACACTTTTGGTCTGCAAATGTCCTTAAAATAAAAGCTGTGATTTCATTTTCTGACACTGAGCTGAACTTTAATGACCAAATAAAAGAGATTGTGCAATCTCGTTTTATCACCAAAGAAATATATCTAACATAGAATGGTTTCTCCTTCTGACCTTGAAAATAATAGCCGTGGCTCTCACTGAAAGGACCGCTGGGAACTGAAATGAGGAATCTGCCAAAGTTGCAATTTATATTTAGTCCCAAGACAAGATTTCCTTATTTCATCATACTGCATCTACCCGGGATTCACTTTATTCACTGCATTCTAAAGCATTTAAACATTTTATTGTTTGTTTGTCATGTGTAAAAAAAACTGTTGTTCATCCCTAGAAGACTAAGAAAAAAATAAGAAAATGATTAATAAGCTAGCCCTCATCTGGCTTGGACCCCAGTACACGGAACAAGCTGCCTGAAGCACAAAGTCTTCACAAACTCTCGGCCCTCTTTTAATTACATTTTTTTACTTATTGGGGCCATTAATCCATTTACCATGATACTGTGGTATGCAGATATATAGACACCCACACACACCCACACCCAAGTTTATCACATACTGATATTTTGTGCTAAAAGTCTCTAAAACTTATCTGGGCGACTACCTTCTTAGACACATCCATCTTAATGTAATTCATTCAGCACAGAATATGATACCAATCAATATTTGGCCAGACTTGTTAAGTGGTTAATTTTGTATGAATACATAAAGTTATGAACTGTATGTCAAAGAAAAATAAACCCTTGCTGGAAGGCTGCAATAAGTTTAAAGGAAAACACTTTTCTAATCTTATCCCTACTTCCCACACTGTTTGCGTGGGCATGTCCTACACACAAAAGCAGCTGTTGCACTTCATGCAGATGCCCTAACACTCACTAAGTCAGACTTGTTATATTAACCATAGAGTAATATATACATTAAAGTTGATTGAAATTCAGATTTCTACAACTATGAATTGTCATTTCAGACAAAGTTATAGATACAAACATGCAAGACAGGAGGCCAGCCAGAGCTCCTTTCCATTTAGGATGAGCTTAAATGTGGAGTCAATTAATTGATCAACAATAGACTCATCTATTATCAAAATAGTACTTTTTAATTTTGATGTATTTCTTAAGTTTCCCTGTCTTGAATTATAATAAACAGACTATTTTGGGGGTTCGGACAGTTAGTGGCACAAAACAAGCTATTTGAAGATGTCACCTTGGCCTCTGTATGGGAAATTCTGATTTTCTCACAACTTTCTGACCTTTGATAAGACAAATAATTTAACTATTAATTGAGAAAATAATTTGGATGAATCAAAAATGAAAATAATTATTAGTTGCAGCCCTGCTTTTAAAACAGGGCACAAAATAAATATTCCGCATGGACACAAACATTGTCCTTGATGTAACGCTAATTCAGAGAGGCCCATCGCACAATAGCCAACATGCTTACAGTATCAAGAGTGACTTCTATTTCTACAATATATTATAAAGCAGGTACTTTACCCCCCGCCTCCATTTAACATTTACAGTATCAGCAGCATATAAACATTTAGAAATTTAGAATAAAACACTATAATGTAGTTATAAGCAGCTGTAAGTGTTCATTATTGTCAACAACTTTAACTTCTTCTGTGGGCACCAATAGGTGGAGGCTGGATTCATAAACAAATAACATCCAGACAATATAGTACATAAAATCAAATGTTTATAGATTCTAAAAATGTTCAATTAACTTTCAAGATGTAACTGTCAAAATAATTTCTTCTATCAAGTAATTTAAATTGACACCTATCAAACATTCTTCAAAAGTTTAACATTGTTTTAACTGCTCACCCCAAAGCCATATTAGCTCCGTGACTGAAAAAAAAATGCCAATCAACACTTGTCAGCTTAAATTATCTGTCACTGGAAAATCTACACCAAGTCACAGTGGGAACTTTGCGGTTTGTATTTGCATTCAGTGCAGTGAAGCAGATTCCAGCAGCTAACCCTGACCCAGAAAGGAACTTTTGAGACAAGTGAAGGCTGAGTGTAGTTTGTTGAGGAGGGAGAGAAACAACAATAGGTGGCAGCTGAAAGATGACGTCACTGTGGAGGCCACATGCAGGAAACCCACTGCCCTAGAGTACAGACATAATGAGAGAGACTGAACAGGCCAGACCCTGTGAGCCTGCTGCCGCCACTGGGCCACGTGTCACAAGACCATTTTAGGATTGTCCTGTTGTCACACCATGTGTTTGTCATACTGGGATTGCAAACACCATCCCTAGTCAAGTCATGAGAAACTCTCTCTTTCAATGTTATTCTACAAAAACTGTTAGAAGCAGACTGATCTGCAGCTGTATTGGTTTACAAACTGCCTTAATTGGTTTAAAAATTAGGAAACAAATATAACAACTGATAAGGCATTCTGTCATTATGCAATAATGACGTGGAAACAGCATCCTCAATTACACTGCTAACCACAATGTACTTATTTGGTCGTATTCAGCATTCATCACTGATACTATCCTTTGTCCTTTCTTGTAATTAGATGAAAGAAGTGAATAAAGTCTTAATTCATCAGGAGCCTTTAAAGCTTTGCTTCAGTGCTAATATCGAAACTTAAACCATTTAAGAGAAGAAAAAGAAATGAGAAATAATTGGTGGGCCAGGACACATGGCGACTGTGACTCTGGATGAGTCACTGTTTGAATGGAGCTGTTGAAAAAGCCCAGTAATTAAGCGGGAGTGCCATTCTGTCAAATTCAAACACCCACACACACATACACTAATTACCGCATGGTATTCAAGTCACCCCATTTAACATCCATTGAGGTATTGTGATTTAAGTACTGTCTGTGTCAGCACTACATCAGTTATACATTCACTAGACAAAACTTTCTATTGCCAGCTACATGGATTAAAGCTCTAAGGGTGAATCATGACAAATGGCTTGGAGAGTAAGCAGCCGACAGAAGGCTTGGCAGAGTCTGCAGGATCTGTGGCGCAGAGAGGGCCTTTGGTGAGTGTCATCAGTTGGCAACCTCCATGTCAACGTGGCTGTGAATCCTTCAGATGACAACTGAGACAGAAATTAATCAGTGTGCAGCTTTGACCTGTGCTCTTTGGAGACACTGTTGAGCACGATGAGAGCAAACCCGTATGATCCACCACCTCCTTAACACACAGGGTGGCTACATCCTGCTGTGGAGCAACTGGCTGAGCCTGCGAACCATGATAGATTCTACACACCACTCCCTGTTCATCACTTTATCAATATCTATGTCAAGGCTAGTAGGACAGTGCGATATGACCATATATTGTGTGACGATAGAAAAAATAAGGTGAGCCTCGTGTGGAAGCTCTCTCTCTCTCTCTAATATTTTGTTTCATGCTTAATTGCACAAAGGTTCTACATAAAAGAAAAATAATCAAATATGATTATCGGGGTAATGAAATGACTTCTATATATGGGATATGAAATGTTGGTCATATCGCACAGCTTTTATTCAAATATGCAGCCCAATGTGCTTCGCAGATAAAAACAGTTTGTGAATAAACACTAAAATAAGGTGGAGAATTAAGCAGAACCAACATTGTAAAATAAGAAATAACTTACTAGAAACAGACATATACTCGCCTCCCCTCCCCAGTTACACTCACTGTCATTCTGTGGGATTTGTTAAGCTACTCCCAATAACCGAGAGTAGAGAGGGAGAGAGAGAGAGAGACAGAAAGAGAAAGTAATATGGGGCAGATGTTGCCTGCTAACACATAAACTGCTGTCAATTTATGAAACTTTTCATTTCTTGGTTTTAATACTTAATATGTTAAGAATAGTTGAATAAATAATGCTACATGATAAATATAAGGCTTCAAATAGACCCGACCATGAGTCCCAAACATTCTGATTCGAGCACCCTTATTTGATTCTTAAAATAGTTGCAGATACATTTTTCTGTCAATCAAATAATTGATTGATCATTTCAGCTTTACATTCATTCATGCAATATGAAAGTGGTTCAGTGAGGATTCTGTTTCAAAATGACGAATGTGAAGTACTGCAGATTTACTGTAATCTTTCCATGCAATAGCTCCATGATACAGAACTAATCTCTTCTGCTTGAAAACCAATGAAGAAATCGTATACACTGCTTCAGTCAGCAATAAGGCATGCACTGTGAACACAATATTCCCTCTCAGCCACTAGAAAAAGTGTACTTACAGCTGAAGCTCTTCTCCTTGAGCAAGTGATGAGGGAGTGAGGGGGAATTCACGTCAGCACACTGTCAGCCTGAAAGACAAACAATGTATGGATTACAATTTCACAGATCACATATCACAGCAAAAAACAGACAATATTTTAGCCAGCTGGAACTATGTGACTGATCAGCTACAAGGACCCCTGACAACACTAAAATGTCTAAAAGGGCAATACACTTCCCTCTGACACACATATACACATGATTTAACAATACTTAATAGATGTATAAAATACTTTTGATAGATAGGTCAGAGTTGTATGAAGAGTGTAAAAGCTCCTCTTGATGTTAGGAATCACAATTGCTATGGTTCTCTGAACGCATGACTGTCATAGTTCAGATAACCATCCAACACATAAACACGCACGCACGCAGTCACAATCAGTTGTTTTTTCATACTTCCCAGTATGACAAACACTCACCCACTCTGCAAACCTAAATGCCTACCACAGACACGGCATGTTTTCATCTTCTGGAAGGAAACGTCAATGTACAGAAACAGAAAAGGCACTATAGTAGCCACATCACCAGTAAAGCCACCAAGCAGCCAGTAAATGAGTCATCAGTCTGGCAGCCGGGGAGCCCTTTTAACAAGAAGCTGGATGTATGTGCCTTGTTGTTTCAGCACGGACTGAGAATAAAAGGACAGTGGCCAGAGTTCACACCACATGACCAGGGGCATTACAGAAACGCTATGAACTGGGCTTAAAGGAAAGAGCACGTCTGTCAGGAGTATAGACGACAGATAGGGACACACAATGATTACCGGGGCAGATAGATTATCGTCCAATCATAGTAAATGTATATTATTAAGAATTATTGGAATAATTACAGCCGGTAATGTGTTGGTCCATAATAATAACTCATTTTGAATACTTATGCAAAGCTATTAATTAATTAATTTATGTTCTATGAAAGCCAACGTATGTTTGCGAAGGTTTTTGCTGAACTTTACTGTGAAAACTAAACGATCATTTGAAGAGTCAGAACTGTTGTTTTAGTTGTGTTAACAATAATATCAGATTTGGTTAGGTCAGAGCTTTGGAATATTAAATCACCCATCTTTGCTCACTACATCTAGGCTTTCTTACCATCAAGTGTGTAAAAACTACAGCTAACTTCTCTTTAAATTACGAAAAAGTGAAATAATCGATTATCTCATTGGCTGAAAGAAAATGGTATCGTGCATTCCTAATGATAGTATGCCATGCCAGTGTACACACTGTGGTGTCATATAAGGGCTTGTGTATGTACAGCTCTACACATTGATTTGTAAAGGGCTAAATGCTGAAATTATAATCTAGGGACGAATCAATGTTGTGTTTTTATTCTTGTGTTTTGGATTTTTAAGGAATTAATATTCAAATAGAGAGCAATCTCAAGATTGTAACCTTTCACATCTGTGCGCAGTATAGCCAATGTTTTGAGTGAGCAACAAAGTTATAAAAGCTGGAGAAGTCCGTATAGCAGAGATCCACAGATAATAAATCCTAGAAGAGAAAGTTGGAATATCAAAGGACGTAGGGGAGACAGGCAGGTGGTGATAACACACACTGTGCCCAGGCAGAAATTAACTGCGTGCGCACACACACACACACACACACACACACACACACACGTAGAACACTGAACAGATATCACTTATATCAACTCACAATATCTAGCACTTATTGTGAATACTGTATTTAAACATGAAAGCCAAAGACGTTACAGCTACAGATCACCATCCCAGCTGTTTCAGACGGATTCATATTTAAAAACACAATATTGCGTGGGCCATGTAGAAAACAATGAGCACTTTTATGCCACTGGGACAGACTGGGTTTCTTCATTCATTACTTCACTTAATGTACAACATGGCCAAAGGTGTAGTGTACCTTTTAAAACTGTAATACAAGTTTTAAAAGGTTCAGCTGAACATATTTTTTTTACTAAAATGAAGATGCTAAATCCAAAGAACTGCTACAATCAGCCCAAATCAGCCCCTTTACACAGACTATAAAAAGACCCCTGTTGAATATTGACACAAGTCAGACATATTAAGTCCCAACAGCGGTATAATGTCAATTTCTCCTCTGGGGAAAAATAAAAAGCCTAACTAGCACTATTTATCTTCTGAAAGCCTTGGCTGACCTCATTTAATCCACACGTCATTGTTAAATGGACAGGGATTGATTGTTTAATGGTGTATAAAACACTTTGGTTTATAGAGCAAACCAACAGTACGTCCATTATGTGTTAATGTGGGTTTACCCAGACTTTCCAGCACTTTTCCACAAATCTTCCCCTTTTGACCACCCACATCTAAATTGTCTCAAACTTAAACATACTTCATGCATCCAATATTATGAGTGCAGCCTAATACCATGACGGCTGTTGAGTGCTACCCCAACAACAAGCCACGGCTCACAGTTCAGTGAAGAGGAGCGCTTTGCATTTGTTATTAAAGAGGGAAATAGCCCAAGCCAAAGGATGCTACCAGGAACTGGTGGAGGGAGGCCATGTTTCAAACCGGCAATCTGATGCTGGCCTCTCTGCTCCTCGCAGCGTTTACATCTGCCATATAGAGAGCCTTGGTATGGGGGGCCCTCTGAGACCTGCGTAACAGCAGAGGGTGACCGCCTTGGGGTCCAAGCTTTGCAGCTCCAACAGCTCTATGACTAGAGGGCGGTGAAGAAAGCAAGTCGGTCACATAACCTCAGCACAAGCTTTCAGATCCTGCCCTCAGGTAGGAGATATGATGCCCTTGTATTCAATACAAACAGGGGCAGGGCCAGCTTCATCCCCTCTGTTGACACTGGTGCCTGTGGAGGAAAGATCTTGACTTTTAGAATCACACATCCTCTTTTGTACGGTGGCGTTTTCTCTTGTCTGTTAGTAAAGTACTGAACTGAGTGAGGCAAATGAATTTCCCTTTGTGGACAATAAAGAACATCTATCGTCTCTTTCTCTGTAGTAAGAGAACCTTACCTTTACCTTACTTGACCTCATCATCATACTTCATCTACATCGCCCCAAACATTTGTGTAGGCTGGATCCACAGAGGCTCGTCATTAGAAATGATGCTGCTCTTCATCAGTTTTGATACGTAGTGACAAAACTAAACAAATCGAGCGAGAGAGAGATGAAAGATGCCCACATTGCAAAGTCCTGAGAGAGATGAAGAGCACAGCCTACGTACAGACAAGAAGCCTACGTGATATGACTGAATCAAAAGACCTTTCAGTGCAACTCAAGATATCTGACTGACGGTCATGTTTCCTCGAAAATAGCTTACGTACAGCTCAAATGACGAAAACCTGCAACCCGAGAATCGTGAAACATCTTTTTTTTTTTTTTGCCAGCCTCTGTGCCGACGATGTCCCTTGGCTGTCATCATAATCAACTTTTACTGGATACTTTGCGCGGGTAATATGCTGCAGTTAAACCCCCGGTGTAGGTAGGACAACGTCGGCCAACGCTACAGAAAGACAAAACACATAATACATCTTTTGTTCCTGTAAATGTGACCTGTTTCTCTCACCGGACGGTTACGTAGTCCGTAGTTACCGGTGGTGTATCCGCTGTCCCACGCGCTGCTGCGGCTGTGTGGTCTCGTGTTTCTCTGCCGCGCTTCGGCAGCACGCGCCCCTTTTTATCAGGTTCCATTTGTTCCGTTCGCGCTCGTTCCCCTTCCCAAGCACGAGAGCGCATCGATTGGCTTTGGCACCGACGACGCAAATCCTTCCGTTTACCAATGGCCATCAGCGCGCCCTCCCTCTCTGCTGCCCCAGCTCTGCATCCATTTGATTTCCAGCCATAAGAGAGTACGGATGAGTCTGCCTCACCGCGCTAATGAGGCTCCAACCCCCCGGCTCTCTGTCAGTCATTGACCCCCTGCTGCGTGTTAGTTGATTGTCTCTTTAAATAGCAGAACACCACTGCAATGGAAGTTATTTTATATGTAGATATACATGTATATATGTATATAAAGACCTACTTATGATTTAGTGAGTTAAGTTTAATACTGTAGGCAGCTCATGTAGCTCCTAAGGAAGAGCAGTGGTTACTGCTAGAGTATAGTGAGCTATTCCAGTAGCAAGTTATAAAATAAGAATTTTAGAATTATAATATTGATGCATTAATTTTATAGTAAATGCCATGCTGGGAACTTGCATTGTGTAGTGCTAGTCTGAAGTGTGCTGCATTTCATTGTATCACTGATCACACATTGCATTGTGATGTGATGTGATGTGTGTAGTGTTGCACTGCATTATTCAGTTTGTTCTTATCTTGTTCATCTGTGTTGTGTTGCACTGAGCCGTGTGGCTGCACTTTACTTACTGTTGTGTTTCACGCTGCCACCTACCACAATTGCAATGTAATGTATATTACAGTATCACACAATATGCTGTGTTGCACAGTGTGATGTTGCTCTGCAGTGTTGCATTGTGTAGTATTCAAGGCCAGACTGAGCAGTCTTTTAGAATAATTTTGATGCCTTGGCTGTTGCCAGGCAACAGCTGTCCTGGAACAGAGATGAATGGGTGTCCCTGGGCTCCTTCTCTTTTTTCATCTTTACCTTCATCTTTTTTTCTTCTCGGTTTCTCTCACTCACACTGACACTTATGTTCAGTGTAAATGCAGTTTCCCTCACTCAGCAAACACTTTAAGCCCATTAAGTAGGCATGTTGTTGGTTTTAAGATATAATAAAGCTTCTGATTCACATGGTCTCATTGTCACTGATGTAAGATATGGGACAGTGTTTTTATTTCAACATCAGTTGTACCTAAGTAACTGAACCAGTGGTGACTAATCACCAGCTTTCCTTCATGAAATATGTAGTCAACAGATGGCTTGTCTTGATCAGCCACGTGATTATGATAGATCTCTTCTTATTCACCCAGAAGTGTTTGCCAACATCCAACAGAAACTCAATCAGCACCAAATCTCTGTCACTCTCCATCTCCCGTCTTGATGTTCCATACAGCCACATTTCTGCCCTTTTGTGCAGATATTTTGACAGTTTATTTGACCTTTGGCAACCTCCAAAGAGCAAAATTTAGCTGACAATCTTATTTTAATCTCTGATTTCAACTTATTTCTTACATTTGACACAACCATACATTTCCATGCAGTTCTTTCTGCATTATGAATTGCACATACACACCTTTGCAAATGTTCCTCAAATGTGCTTTCCACACAGCAGCGCTGATACAGCCACCATCCTCTCTGTGGGATGTTAGTCCATGCATGCTGTGTCTTCTCATTGTGGAACGCAATCACTGGAGGCGGGAAGCACAGATGTTTTTCATGAAAATAATCATTCATTTGTGTTGTGAGTGTGGGTTTCTTTTGTTTGTGGAGAAAATGCACTCAGCTTAACACGCAAATTGGTGAGGCAGCTTCAGTGCATCCCTGACACAGGAACAGAGAATTACATTAAACTATTGAAATTGTATGCAGGTGCACGGTTGATTTCTATCACATCCTATTCAACCCTGAATAGATAATATTGACTTTTATCATTTGTTTGTCATGCAGCTTGCTCACTACTGGCAATGCTGCCGATCTGTATTCAGTATTGATGTTTGTGTTTGGAAAGGACAAATTATAATCTTCTAGGAATGGAGCTGTTTTACATGCTGCTTTATGAATATTGCAAAATATCTAAATTATTTAGCGGCTGTTCACACCTATATTTCTGTCAGTCAGGCCTATGGTTTGCTTGAATAGTCTGGTCAGACAGAAATGTACCTAACACACTCACCCACACAGCACCTCTCCTTCTTTTCCAGTCTGTTTTGTGGGAGGCCGTTACAGAGGTTTGCTACAGTCACTATTGCTGCTATACTGTATAAATAGTGTGCAGGTGTCTGAATGCATCATCCATCAGCACTGCCCAGAGGCAAGCTTTGCACTAGTCAAATCAAGCTCTTCATCCAGTTCACCGACCACTGTGAGATTCTAATCACACCACCAGCAGTAAGACAGAGCATGTACATTTGTTTATACAGAGAGTTTTAATCAGTGTTAGAAAACAAAATGCAGTCAGGAGCTTATAAAATAACCTTTGAGAGCTCATTAGTGTTTTCAAAGTGTGGGTATGGGAGTCACAATAGAAAGAACAAACTTTCTTTATTGAAAATGTCAGTTGTGAGATATACAATATAATAGTTTCCCTTGTAAAGCAGTTAAAGAATTAGGAGATAAGAAATTGAATCGGACATGAACTAGATGTTTTTCTGTGATAGTCTCTATAAAGTGGGATAATCATACAAACTACAGAACCTCATTAATAGTCGGTTATTGATTATGACAAAATAGAACATGAGGATGTAATATTGATTCACAATTACATATTTCAATGGCCCCTGATGGAACACAAAAAACAGACTCAAAAATGAATCACAGTGATTTCTCTATTAATTAAAATATACACTGTGAATGACAGGCACTTGAGTTTGCAGGTAGAGCCCTCTCCTTTAGGACAAAAACAACATACATGTACTGTATTTACCATTCAACATGTAAAAAATATGATTCACAAATTAATATCAAGCTCATGTCGATAGTATGAATTTGTTTGTCGTCAGCATAAATATAAAATGGATGTGGGTGCTTTCTCTGGCCTGATAACTGAACATAAATTCTTAGATGTTTGATATTCACTAAACAGCTTTATCGAGTCCCTCAGCTTGCTTCTGAGGATCATGTTGCTGCAAAGCAAAGATCAAAACGCAGTTCAGTGATGAATATGCTCCATTTTTGCAATCTAAAATGATCTTTGGTGAGAATGTAAACAATTGCACCGGAACAAAAAGTAAGGCTTTAAAGGCTTGTAGCATAATGAAAACAAAAAAAACACATTACCTCCATACAAATATATCTTTACCTGATTAGGATTCCTACAACTTGTTGTCAGATAGCATGGATTAAGATAACTTAGCCTGCCTTTACACTTTAGACAGCAAACAGCGCTCTTAATAGTAAGTAAGCCATAATTCAGTAGAGCCAATTCCCCTTGAACAATGAGGAAAGATAATGCGGTGAGCATTGCAGTGTATATTACAGTAGAGTTACTCTTTAGGATCCCTTTATGATATTAATTAATTGAAGCATAATGAAATAGCAGGCAGCTGCAATGAGCAGAGTGATTTGGGGTTTGAAAGAGAGGCGAGACAAGCTAAAATATATGGGTTATGGTGGATAGTGATGGGGTTACAGCATAAGAGGGGTATAGGCATCAGAGTCTCTCTGGTCCCACACATAAGGCACATTAATAGGGTACATAGTGTTGTCTCCAACCCTAATACCTCCTAATATAACAATCGGCCTGAAAACATGCCCAGTAGATCTGGCATTTTACAGCCTATACTGTACATGAGCATCATCCCCCATTGAGTGCAGGACATTTGTGTCCCTCAGTCTGCAGTCTATCCGTTCAACTATCCACCTACCCAACCATCCATCTGTCCATCTGTCCACCTGTCCACTGTCTACAGGCACTCTACCACTGCTCCCAGCTGAAGTCGTCTCCACCTCCAAACACAACAAAAAAGCCAAGAATAGTGAGAAAGATGACAGCGTTTCCTGTCATCACCAGACCACAGGCACCCCACTCGATCTGTAGAAGAAAAATATTTATACTGAATCAAAACTTTTGACGGAAGAAATCCATAGTCTTCTAGTCATGCTCTCAAGATACAGTGCAAGTACAGATACACCAACAACTGATGTGGTGTAGACAGCACAGACAAATAAAACGGAAATCATATATACGTATGTATGTATGTGTGTGTGTGTGTGTGTGTGTATGTGTTGTGTGTGTGTGTGTGTGTGTGTGTGCATAGAAAATATTTCAGCATGGGTAGAGAGAACTCACTATGCTATTGCGGGCTAGCACAATGGGAAGCCCAAAAGATGATACCACGATGCCAGTTGTTAAGAAGTAGGCCAGCTCTCTACATGCATTGCTGGAGGAG